AGTTGTTGACCCACGGATTATTTCGCCTTATCCTGCCTGAGTTATTGCCATTTGATCCGCTGAAGAATAAACGCTGTTGGAACCAGAGTTTAGCCCTGTTTAATCTACTGTTGTACCAGTTCAAGGTAGTGAACGGATCACGATCCTGCAAAGAAAAGGCGGCTCTTTCCCGTAAGCGAGTTGCCATTTGAGTCTAGTTTCCCAAGTTTTATCGAGAGTTAAGTCGTGTACCAATGAGGAAATATGTAAACAACGACATCAGCTAAGATTCGCCTATAGCCCTGATATATTACAAGGGTATCTAACGAAAGATGGGTGCAAGATTTGGGATTGAATCTATGCCAGTAATGTGGGATGCTTAACCATCTGGATTACGAGATTGAGAGAAAACACGGGGTCTGTTTCTCGAAAGTCCCGGAAATTCTTCGGGTCCGGAAAGCTACTTTGCGTTTATTGAAGTTCAAAGTTTCAATGATTTTAAAAACAATAAAATGAAACTGCCAGTTATCGAAGCAAAACTGACTGGTTCGTGGGCTAGGACCTCTGATGCTATTCAACAGGCTTGGATTTTAGTCTGATTTTAACATTTGCCACCGGGTTCGAAAAGTTTGCGGGGCTTTCGAGAAACGGGCCCCTGGCCATGGGTTGGGATGACGAGATTGAAGAGCCGTATTGGACAGCCACTGTTGGAGATTCTCCTCGTGCATCAGTTAATTATGGATTCTCCATACACAGCTCTTTAAATTTGAGTAAATCATTTCCCGAATAACTCGCATATGAAAAATTGTAATGACCTGAATCTTGGCGAAGTCTGTACTTTGCAAAATTTACCTCCTTTCATTTCCAAGATCCTGGACTTTATCTATTAAACGGATTTGATTTTCCTTTTTTTATGGGGTAACAGTGAAAACCAGCAATCTTCCCTAAAAGCCGCTAAAATGACACTGTTAGTACATTTCACGGCCGCTTTAAGGTGACTCGACCGAGTTTTTTTTTTTTTTTCGGGGGGGGGGG